CCCAGCCACGCCAGACGGAGGTTGTGCCCCGCTGCTTGGTGCCGTGGCTGCGCCCCCCCCCGGAAGGCGGGGGGCGGTGAGCGCTAGAGTCCAGTCAGTGCAGCCACAGCTTCGTTAGGCCCAAGGGGGGACGCTCAACCCCGCCACTGAACCCGGTGTCCATCCCTCCCGCGCAGTGCTCTGTGCGGGCTCTGGGCCAGCTTCGCTCCACCCCCAGTTATAGCGGGGCGCAGCCACCGACTCGCATCAGACAGAATCTTCCCGCGCCCCGAGTTGCCGTTGGAAGGCACCAGTACAACGGACAGAATCTGGTTTGTAGGCAGTGTTGGGGGAGCCCTGTTGGTCCAGAATATTAGAAAAATGAGCAGGGTGAAGCATTGTCTCTTGCTGCACCAATTTCTGTCGGTGCAAGAACTCAACTCAACCACGCTGGGGGCTGGCAACAGACTTCACCAGCCAGAGTGGAGGGGCTTGCTCCATGGTTCTTGGGCCTTAAATGGAAGGGGCAGGAGCTGCCAGCCTTCAGCATTGTTGTGGACTGTGCTGTGAGCCTCCCAGCCAGCCCTCAGTGCTGCCTGGACAATGCTGCATGGGGCTCCAGCAGCAGTTTAAAGGGCTAACAGACCTGGACCTTTTTAAATCAGGGGGCCCCAGGACAACTGCTCCCATTGCCCCACACCATCAGCAATCCTGGCAGTCTTCAGGTCTAGGAAAACTATTCTGTTTCATAGTTAACTGCTTATGCACATAAGCTTCTATTTATCACAAATGTTAAGACTTGAAGATCTCTATATAAGCTTGGCTTTCTCACCAACAGAAGTTGGTCAGATAGACATTACTTCACCCTTTTTTTCTCCAAAACAAGGGTAGGCAAAATACAGTCTGTAGGCGGATCCAAATCACCAAAAAGCTGGATTTGGCTTGCCACCATTTTATTGCCCAGCTGAAGCATCAGGCAGGCTAGGCTCCCTTTCCCCGTATTCAGTTGAATCCTAGGTCCCCTAGTTTCTCCAGCAAGGCTGGGAGAGGGGCATTTAGAAGTGGGTAGGCATTATGCCCCACCACCCAAAACAGCTGACTGATGAGGCCATGTGGTCTTTACACACTGTGCACCCCATGGGGATGGGCTTAATGCCCCATTCCCACACAGTCTCGCATTGAAAACTAGCCAATGGGAGCTACCTGAGCTGTGTTTGTGGTGCACAGCATGCAGAGAAGCACGTGGCCTTTGCAGCCAGCTGTTTTGAACTGTGTGCAGAGGTGTGTCAGGGCAGTGAGCTTGCCTGAGGGTACTGCTGGACTGCTGTCCAGAAGCCTCCTAAGGTTTGTGTCTTCCAGCCAGAGCCTGCACTGACACCCCACTCTGTCTCTCCCCACAACTCTGCCCTCTACCCCTGTCCCCGGTCATAAATCCTAAGTGAACGCCCCTTTTTCCAGGTCAGAATGATCTCTTGCACCCATAACCTCTCCCAGAACGTACACCCCAATCCTGCCCCAAGTCACAACCCCCTCCTTCACCCAACACCCCTCTCAGACACTACACCCCAATCACTATCTGAAGCTCCTTTCTACATCCCATTTCTATCCTTTACTCTGTGCCTCCTCCATTAATGGAAGAGTGTAGCCGTTGACCACCTACTAAATTATTGGAGTGGCCACCCATAAAAAATTATTGCCTACCTCATCCTAAAATCTTGTTGAAGAGTCTTGGTGATACTTTTTCAGTACGCAGAAGACAGTTCAGATAACTAGATAACATAGTGATAGTCATATTTTAACAGTAACATAAAAACACCAAAAATGTATAGACTTTCAAAAGATGTCAGATTTCTCTGTTCCGGTTCTTACTGCTGCACCTCATGATAGCAAATGCAAATCCTGTGCCTTCCAACTCGATAAAAGGTGTATTTGCTACTATATTGAAAAGGCTCATTGTTCCCTGGAATTCCACTAACACTCAGTTTTCTGCAGAATCTGCTTTTTAGTTAAAAACAATATTTTTGTGACAAACTTTCAAATGCTAACTGATTTGGTTGTAAAAGCCTCAGAGGGGTAGCCAGGTTAGTCTGTAACAGGAAAAACTTAAAAAACAACAAATAGTTTAGTAGCACCTTAAAGACTAATAAAACACGTAGATGGTATCATGAGCTTTCGGGGGCACATCTGAAGGAGTGAGCTGCACCCACAAAAGCTCATGATACCATCTACATATTTTTTTAGTCTTTAAGATGCTATCAGACTAATTGTTGTTTTTTTAATTTGGTTATGTATGCCTCAGTCTGCAAATAGCTTGAAGCAATAGCTCTAAGGGGAACCTGTTTTAGGTCGGGGTCACACACAAGTGAGAAGTAAAACAAAACAAACCAATCCTCACATGGCGTGAGAAGGAGAAAGACACTACACATTTCACCAGAGCCAAGGGGAGCCCAGGCTAGTAGTAGATTTTGAGTGCTTCAGCTTCATAGTGGGGTAGTGGGAGAACTGGAGCCCAGTGCAGGCTCCCCAGTGCTGGGGTGAGCTCTGAGCCTTGCAGGCAACTTGGGGGGGAGGGCATATTTGGCCCCTGAGCTTGAGGTTCCCCACTCCTGCTCTACATGAAACTGCCCTCTTATACAGGATAATAACTCTTAAATCCTAAAGTTGGGACTTTAAAGGACAGTGTTGTTTCATTGCTGATCCATTTACAAGAAACATCTACCTAATGTAGGTTTTCCCCACAGTCCAAACCACATCTTATATCTCCCTCTGTGCTATGATCCCCAACTTTCCAAAAATCTCAGCCTCCTTTTGCTCTACACTACAAAAATGCATTTTCAGTACAAAATGCTGCAATATGCTTAAAATAAAATATAACTATTAATTGTATTTATATTGGGTTAAATACAAAACTCAATTTGTATGTACTTAAATTTGCTGTAGGATTTCCAAATAGTTGCACCAGACTGCTACAGAATTTGGCCCCATTGGCACAAAATTGAGATCAAGCTTGCTGAAGAATAGAAGAGGCATCGTTTAAAGGTAAATAATAGCTCATCTGCTGCACCTTCTGTTATGGAAAATGGTTGACACTCATTGAGGCAATTTTATTGAAAACCATTTAATTCACCTGCAGTGAACCAAAGAGTGATGAGTAGGAACAAACCTGTTATTAGGCACAGACATGTGAAAAAGGCACTAGGAACTCTGTCTAGAATGGGTTGGCTATTCCCTATGGATTCACTGAGGATTACCAAATGGGGATAACGTCACCAGCAGCCAATCAGATTGTCCTCTTGAGTACACATGGATGAAAGGCATATTATACTTAAGTAACAAGACATGACAGACCATGTGTTAGTGCTAAATAATTGATGCCTCAATCACATAATTAATCACAAAGCCAAGATGAGATCTGGCCAGTAGTTTATGGTTTAATTTACAACTAGCTTTTCTATTTGAAAAGAAAGGTTCTTTACAAGTATTTTTATGATCAGAAATGCAATGTAGAATGTCTTTTCTGAACAGAAAAACTGGCAAATCTCAGATTTGTTTGCATTTATATTTTTGGTGGACATTTAGCCATATCAACTGTTTTTTCCACTGGCTCCATTGCTTTTCAGTGGTGCTAAAGGTATGTCCCTATTTATATTTCCATATGTCCCTACTAAAAAGTTTCATGGTTTTTTTAAATAAACTTCAGTTTTTAATGTCCATATTCAATAAAATAGGTACAGTTGATCTTTAGGCACAAATGCTAGTGTTTAGATGTTAATATTCCTGATGTTTAAATACTAGCATTTGAATCCTCAGCACATAAGTGAGGCGGTTAAGTGCCTCCCCACATCTCTTCTTGGGTATTCAATAAAATAGGTACAGTTGATCTTTAGGCACAAATGCTAGTGTTTAGATGTTAATATTCCTGATGTTTAAATACTAGCATTTGAATCCTCAGCACATAAGTGAGGCGGTTAAGTGCCTCCCCACATCTC